AGACAGACAGACAGACAGACAGACAGACAGACAGACAGACAGACAGACAGACAGAGACGGACAGAGACAGACAGAGACAGACAGAGACAGAGACAGAGACAGAGACAGAAACAGCAACGAGCGTAAACCAAAGCATCGTTGTGGGTGGTTAGCGGATACTCTGGTGTGGTACTTTTCTGACCTCTTCAGTTGTCTGACTAGAGTAAGAAAAGCTAGATTAAATCAGTACATAAAAGCGTCTCGGGACAAATTTCCTAAGAGTGAGTGTAGACAAATACGTGGGTTGGTGTTTGGCGGGTGCTCTGGGTGGTTTATTCCTTCTTTCTTATCTAACATGTATCGTTCTTTTGTCCTCTCCTTCTTTTTTGTGTTTGTTACTCTCATGTACCCTGAAAGTGTGCGTATGGTCAGTCCTTTTGTATGGATGCGAGAGCTGCACTCTAGACAAAGACAAAGAGAGAAGACTGGAGGCAGCTGAAAAGTGGTGTTTAAGGAGAATCCTCCAAATCGTATAGGAAGAGAGGAAGACAAATAGAGAAGTGCTTCAAATGCCAGGTTGTGAAATATCTATAATATCAGAACCATAAGAAAAAGACATAAAATTCAATTGAGATTCTTTGGCCAATAAAATACATGTAGATCAAACGGACCAGGAAAATTGCTCCTATGTGGAAAGATAGAGGGATAAAAAAAAAGCAGAGGACGACTAAGAAGAATATACACAAATGACCTAAAAATAACTTTGCAACGAATAATTTATAACACAAAGAGAACAACCGGGCTGGTCGGGAAGACAGACAACAGGCGCAGGAACGGGATACCAACATCGTCAACGTTTGCTTCATACTCTCTAGTAACACCTCAAATCTTCGACAGTTAAATGACTTAGAATTATGTTGAAAGAGCGGTAAAATTCTCAGTAAATTGTTTTTTTAAAAGCAGACAAACCAATGATCCGACGGTTTCCCAACCCTGCCCTATGGGCCACCTGACTCTACATTATCCCCTCCACTCCAGCAAGCCGTGGCGAGTGGCCCTGGACTCACAAACAGCATCAACGACAAAACCGACTACTTCCAGGGGGTCTCCAAACAGCCACTTGTGTCAAGGGCCTGGACTCAGATTCCCAGACAATTGGCTGTAACGTCTATTTATAGACCATAAGTACAGCATGTATGCCCCGCCACATTTGCCAACTGCCTGTCTTTTTCTTGTCGTTGTGCTTTAAAAGTGTATGGTAAAACATAATAATATGTTCTTATACTGGATTATACTATGTAGATCTAGTTTGTTTATGTTTTTATTAATTTGCTACATGTCGTTTGTTTGGGTGGGGTTGTTGGGTTTTTTGGGGGTTGTTGTTTTTTT